CTAAGATGCAGATTAGAGTTTTGCTTCCTTGTTCAGTGGTCTGTAACCGGTCAGTTGGCATTTCCGAATAAATAACTCCGCAGCGAAAACCTTCTTCCTTTCACCGTTAGGTATGATCATGATGTTACAGTAAGAATAAAAGCATGACTCGTGGGGGTTGTTAAAACAGGAGGGACAGGGTCATAGGGGGTGGGCATTGTCTCATTTAGGCGTGGTCGCCACTAAGCCGACGCGGGTAGGGAAGCACAGTTATTATGCATTTTTGGAGAGAATATCGAGGAAGGTCGGATTGTTAGGATTTGAGGGTGGCAGGCGAAAAACAAAGCGAGGGAGGGCAAAACAAGTGGTGGCCCGACACATCACAAGATAGGTGTAATGATGAAAAATGAGGGACTAGACCATCAGACCTAGTGAAGCAGCAGAGTTGGCGTCATCCAGACGGTCAAACCGAACTGAAACCTAAAACCACCGCGTGAGGCCTCGCACACGTTGGAGTCTGGTCCTAGGGGGACTTGGTAAATAGATGTGGGATAACATGGAGCGGTGTCCTCTGGGATTGTGTTTGCAATCTGAGGGGGAGTATTCATTGTTAGTGGTGGTTTGGTGCATAATTGGTGAAATGAGTCTGAACCCACGACAGAAGTTACAGTACCAAGTTCAATATGAAGTAGGAAATAGGTCTGGCAGGAGGGCAAGCGGTTAAACGAAGAGCTGTTGGCCGTGTCATCTGTATCTTGTGGTGTGGATAGAGATATGGTGCAGAAATGGCTGGTAGCTGTGTACGGATCGGTGGAAGCCGAAAATGGTGTTTAAATGGGACGAAAGTGGGTCGATATGGTCTGAAAGTGGATGAGGGTCACAACCGGGCACCGGTCGCTGTGGATACGAAGTTCCTCCGAGCAAGTGGCGTGTCTCATCCGTTATGTTGACAATGAAATTCCCCACGTTTATTATGTCCCCATTTGTAATCCCCGCCCCACTTTTGTGTTTACTGTGTATATATATATGCCACTTCACCCATTTGGCCTTGAGGTCATCCGGCCATTTGTATCTGACTTTGCACGTGTGACTGTCGCACGTTGGAGCCTGTTTGCTCCCTTGCTTTGCACTTTTGAAGTGCAAGCGGACTGTTTGTTTTGGACGCGTATCTACTGTCGAGGTTTGTACAAATTGTGAATTTATCTTACCCTAATAGTGCCGTATAGAAACCCAGCTCCGACTTTGTTTTGCCTATCCGGAGGTTCTGGTATTACGCGTCACTCGAAGATGCCGCTCGACCGTTACAACTCCAGTTTCTCCTTACCCTCTTGGACAACACCGCCAGCAGCTGAACATGTCTCCCAAAACGAATTGCGGAAACAAATATTGTTCCGTGTCTCCGAAGCATGCGGGCGCTCCATATCAACCTGATTCTTTCCCCGGGGGAGCAAACGCATCCGGAGATCTGAATGTATGGCCAGGCTAGCCAAGAACCCGCTAAGATGCTGACTTTCGTATTTAGCTTTCCCTTGGCTGGGAAAGTCTTTTTGCAATGAAATATTGCAGGGATTGGAACTGGACTTGCCCATCTTATGTACATTACAGACACAAGCTTCATATCTAACCCCTGAGGAAAACCATGCGTCCCCTACCATCCTCATACGCTCCTGCCTTAAGCTGCTCTGTCGAACCACAGAGTGCAGCATCTATATTACCTTGCGACACAATGGTTCTAACTCCACAAAGCTCGTACCTTTGACAACTTATGACTCCAAAACGACCACATAACCTTTTAGTATGAAAACCGAATACCGTTTTCTGTGGAGCGGGGGACTTTTCTGACCCGGACGGAATTCCCCAAGGGTGCCCAAACATGTACCAACGTGCTAGCTCTCCCAACTAGACCTGAGTTTTCTTTCTTTTGATTGATAACTCCTCTTGCATCGCACCATTACCCACCGCCATTAATAAGTGTTAATTCATAATTCTAAAAAAACATCTCGTCAGCCTCATTAATTCATAAAAAAAACATCTCGTCAGCCTCAAGTATCTGCACAAAACGATGAAAAGTCGTGTGCGATTCAGTTTTCAATTCTAATCATAACATTACTAGTTTCCAGCTCGTGGGGAACATTCCAACTGGGACATGATCGGGAATTCACAGTTTAAACTTGGCTAGGAGGCGAAACCAAGGGAACATGCTTATTGCGCGATAAGTAATTGTAAAATGCGAGAAGCAATAAATCTGAGCATTGAGCCAGGAGGAACAAATTTTTTCGGCGATAAAATCTGATGATTAAATCCAAAACTGGAAAACCGATGCTGAATGAGAAACCTTGGACAGATGGGCTAATGCCCAGGGTCAAAAAAGTGTGAATGATGGTGTGGTGAAATTTGCCGCGTAGATGAACGGCAAGTTGCGTCTCAGAAGTCTGGTGTGCACCGAAACCCATTTGAATATCTGATATTGACGTTCAAGCGAAGTCAGTGGGAAAATTTAGTTTAGAGGTTGCGCCAAAACATAATGCCGAACGATTACCGCAAGTGAAACCTTTAGGGTTGTGGTTGTGCCAGCTCGGAACGATAAGACCGTTTAAACCGAGGTGAGTTTCAAGAGTTGAAGCACGAACTCGTCCCAGAGACGGCTAAGCACAGGTAAAATATTTCGTATTCGCAAGTAAATGCCGGAGATGATGAGGAGGAAAAGTCTCAAGTAGAAAAAGAAAATTTGCAAACGTGCCATTTACTGGGTGGGGTTATATCATGCCGACATTTCACTGACATACTTAGGGTTTTGGACAGCCCCGAAACAGTTACCAAATTACCAGTAATCGTGTGTAGGGTGCTCACTCATGTGGGAAGCGATATTTGTACTTCCCAAGAGGATCGAAGCAAGTAGATTCAAGCCAAGGCAGAAACGCAGTTGTAGACCCGAGGCTCGGACCAGGAGAGAGAGGATACTGACCATACGGGGACTCTTGGAGCAGTTTCTGCCGAAGGTCGGAGTCTGGTAATAAGAAATGGGGCTGGATCAGTAGAGACTAGTTAGAACAACAGTCGTACTGATTACATTTCTTGCTCTTCTTGTGGTTTCGAGAGCCCCGCCCACAGGTTTGTAAGGTGTCGACATCAAGCCTGGAGGTACGATATTCACCCTCTGAATGGTACACTGGCTTATCTCCCAAGCGTTTCTTCCAGGTTTGCGCCAGTGGCTCAATTAGATAACTTCATATAGAGGGTCCCAAAGGTTTTGGCGCAGAAGTCCAAACTAATCGTCATCTTCAATAATTAGATTCTTGCCCTTTCCTTCCAGTCGTAATGTGCCTTGCGCTGGTGACTTGAAGATACAGTGTAGCAATGCCCCGCGTTTTCCTGCTGGCCTCCACAGTTCTGGAAATGGTTCCGCGTACTGAGGACAAGTCAAAAACTGAAGAGTTCTCGTTTACGGGAATTTATCCGGCTCCATACAAATGTTTCAACCAACGGTTGTCCATCAACACTTCCCTGTGCTGTCTGCACTGAGTGGGTCAAAAGATTGCTCACGTCGAGCGCTGTCTATTTTTTAGGCTTTTTCAGATCCAGCCTGTTTTCTTCATTCTAGTAGAAGAGAGTCAACATCTCCAACCATCCTGGGTAATTATACTTTCTCAAACCTGTTGCCCTCCAGACCATCATTGCAATACATTCTCTAAACAGGTACCCTCTTAGTGAAGAATTATGACCGAACCAGAACACAATATTAGGAGTGATAACGGAGAAACGCCCTGGAAAGAGCATTTTTTGAACTCCCCCCCACTGTGATTAAATCGAAGATGTTGCTTCTCTTCGGCTCCACTGCGGCCTGATTCTGTTCGGCGTTGAGGTCACTCAAAGCTAGGATGCTTATGTTCTCTGTGTCCGTCAGCCTGTCCTAGGAGAGCGCTCTCGATAGTAACTCAAGCGGTCGGTCGTGGGCACAATTCTGCTGACATAAAGTGTAGTAATTAGTCGTCCATCACTTAAACTTATTTAAGCCTGTCTTGGACGCGTCAGTCTGAGCAAACTTCACAACTTTCACACTAATAAAAAAGATTCAACACGGAAGCCAAGGAGAGAGCTGGTGACATTCCACAGGGAAATTGCTGGATATCAAACAGTACCCTGAGCTATCCATTTACTCAACATTACTTTTACGGAAGAGGGCCAGCCCGCAACCATCAGGGGTGTTCTGCTATCGAAAACTGCCCGTCCAACCTTCAGTAACGGTCCGGTCGTGGGATTACTATAGCCAACAGATGTTGTACCACAGTCATAGTGAGGTACTGCACTTGGCGTATATTCTTTAATACGCACCATCGGCTGGCACAATACACAAAAGTCTGCTTGGTGCAAGCACTCTTTGTGAAAAGTTACCCGGCAAGTTATCAGAAAGTAGTCTACGGCCAAGCGCTTCTGCTCTTCTATACGACTCCCAAAAGGAACCAAATTACTAACCGGAAAACAACCTTGGACTGCCGCTTTATTCCACTTGTGAATGAATAATACAACGTCTGTATTTTTTCAACCAATGATTACTGATCCAGAAAGCGCAGGATGAATTGCTGGGATAGATGTAGTCGTTCTGAGCATCACTAAATGCAATCCAGTTTTGTCGGAGTTGATCGGGTTTGTAGCATTCGATAGAGCCCTAGCGCCGATGTTTGCTGACTTTGCTACCCTTTCACCATAATTCCGGCAATCTGGTAGGGTGGCTACAACGGAGAAAAACAAACTCTCTGAATATCAACAAAAGTAGGCGCGGCAGCGTATTCTTGGGATTACTAAGCACTTGAAATAACTTTAAGCTACCAAATGGAACCCTAACTTCCCAGGGTTTCCACCATGATATATCTGGCCAGTTAAATTTCCGACAGCTTTCTGCACTTTCTGATCATGTCAAAATCGTTTTGATTACGCATTTAGTTAAGAAACTGTGGGAGCTCATCTGGTCTTGTGTAACATCTTGGACGGACAACAAAACTAATTTGGGTGCTGCCTAAACTGACGGCTCCCTGGCGGAGGCGTAGTTACTTGATCAAGATGTGTGAGCAAGATTGACTCAGCCATCAGCCATCCGACTTCAGCCAGCCACTTAATCCTCAACGCCTCTAAACCCATGACAAAAAAACTGCATTTTTATATTCCCCCATAGTATGATTTTTAGAGGCTCTCTGACGTATGGTAATGAAATTCCCAGACACGTAAACTTGGTTTTCGGGGGGGATCTTCCACTGATTGTTTCCAGCAGTCAGTTGGAACACATTGAGTTACATGCAAAACCCCAAACATAACGCCGTTTCAACGGAGGTACGCCAGCAAATGTGGTACTGTGAATACATCAAGAAAATAACTGAATAATCATATCGTAGAAGTGCGCGGACTTCTATACACCGGTCAGGAAGCCACTCATTTCAAATAGAATCCTAAAGTCCACACAGGCGGAAGGTACAATGTCCGAAAGATGGTGAAACTCACGTGCTTCATCCGAACTGGAATTGAGAGGGTGAGGTCAAAGAGTAGTTTACCTTCAGTTCAAAACGAGGAATGGACTACAGACGCAAAACGGAAACAATCAAACAGAAATCATGCGGTTCCACGCAGAAACGTGCAGAGGCTTCTAGGTTAAAACACGTTCTTGTAATTTCGCGACGGTTTTCAACTACCCCTGAAATGCACCTTGGTGGCGGGGACCATGTACTGGTAAAATATCCCAGTGGACAATGCGCAAGTTTGGAGTTCAGCGCAACAAACTTATGTTTGCATATCCTAAGGAAGAGCACACCAGGAGGTTTCATTATTTTTTGCCTTCCAGAGAAATCGGAGTACAACTATCAAATTGGAAGACTAGGATTCGTTGCACCCGCCGATGACTTCGTGAAAGGTGACGCTCTCGAAAAGAGTGGAGGCATCGCTAAAGTAGTGTATCCTATGTTAGAGATGGATCACAAAGTGATGTATGCAAGAATTTTTGAGGGGTGGTTATAAGAAGGCTGAGATCGCCATACTTGTTGGGGATGTCGGTAGAATATCTAGATATTTTGACTACATTTTTGGGACATCATTCTACACAAATACTGTGCGATATATCGGAAAAACTGTTCCTCGGAGAACTCATAATGTTCGGGACTGCTTTGGTATATGATACCGATCTTACGCAGATTCGTTCGACCGGAGGGAACTTTTACGGGCACTCAAAATGGGCAGTTGAGAATGTAGCTGAAAGTCGCGAGTTCACACATTTCCCCTGTGCAGCATGAACAAGGTCTGCCATATTTTGTCGAGGGCGCAGAAAAACTGATCGCGGAGAGTTCAATAAAGGCATCATGCTCTAAATACTACGTGAAGTCGTGAACGGCCTGCTTTAATTTGATCAGACGGAAGCGCAAATTTTTTGCTTTTTTGAACAGTGGTGGCTGAGGTTTAGGAGAAAAGCCATATTTGACTTGTCTATGTCCTTTTTCATTACAGGCGTGAAACCGACATTAATAGGTGATCGTGAGACGTGCATTTGCGACGCGTGCCCCAGCAAGTTTGTGGACGACGGAGTTTACATCACTGAAGCCTTAGATTTAAAATGGGAAGAAAACGACCGCTTCAAGTCTGTCAGATAACCCGGTATCCTATGCAGTCGCATCAAACACAGTTGGGCCACCAGCCATCCTTGATGACGCTGAAGCTGCTGAATAGTCCTCGCTCATCTTTCGCCGTCTGTAAGCCTCCTTCTAATGCCCCATATAAGTATTTGTTGGCTCCGGATTTCAAAGATTGCCACACCAACTATAATTCCTGCCTCAATTAGGCCCAATAACCACTCAAGCATTCAATGTGATTGATGAAATAATCAACCCCACGCGTGGGCACTACTGACGTATCTGAGTGAAACCTATAGATGACTCACCTAACAACGTCGGCCACCTTGTTCCCTTGTTCCCGGTCCAATTCTCTATCGTACCCGGGCCTGCTCTGACGTCAGCCTTCAGTACTTACGGGGAAGACTCAAGGGGGCTACATAACCTTAGAGTTCCGTGACTACTCCCCACACTAGACCAACGCCAACCGATTCCCCATAGTTTTCCAATACCCGGGGTTCTGCATCACTCCTTAATATTGGATTTTACCACCGGTGAATCTGTGAATATCTCTATCATCCCGGGCCATCTTATTACCCCTTTGGAATGGCAACAACAAACCAGCAGGTGCCCTCGATAGACCCAAGAACATCCCTGATCCATACTGGTCCAGATTTGTTACGATGCCTTGGTTACTCTTACCAACCATGACACTCCCAAAGGCTTACCCAAGATGTTCATGCACGGGGCTGTCCATGAACCCAAGCAAGATGTCTCGAAGGCGGTGATACGATTGCCATATCCATTCTGCTGGCTTACCCGTAGTTCACCATATCCCCACTATTTCACGAGCGAGCGTTGAAAGCACATTTAAGAGTGTTCCATTCTGAATCTGAATCTGCATCAGAACTTTGAAGCATTGGTGATCCCTTTGCACTGTCTGCTTGTTCTGTCAAAAGACTTACTAACTATCCCGGTGGAATCACCAAGGGGTCAGCATACGTAAAAAGAACCTTGCGCGCTCAGAACAGCGTGCGCTGATCACCATGACAAATTCCTTGGCGTTCTATGGCGGGACGCACACGGCAACGATGGAAAACTTTTTCCAAACAAGTCGCAGATGGTCGCTCCATTTTGAGTTTGCGCGGACAGAGGCGGCCCAATAATTGTCCATGTAGTTGCGACATTATTTACGCATCCCAGTGCAGAAGAAAAGACGCGAAGGGATAAATATTTTTTAAAAACTTTCCACCATCTTCACGGATACGTCACAGGAATATCCTCTAAAAGGCCCCTTAAAGATCCCTTCGTTCAAACCAAGACTTCAGAGAAATTTGCGTTGTGCGCCTAAAGGATCGGGGGCGCATTAGAGGCACAATGTTTTCAGCTGCTAAACCTTTGAGAGTAGAGTTAACATTTTGGCCCCAAGATAATGCATTATGTAGCTTATGTGTTTAACCTAAAAACCATATCAATCTACAATGATATATTCGCAGCTTACCAAATTTCATTGTCCACTGAAGCACTTATACCCCCAGCGGAAAAGCCCAATGGAATAATTTCCAAGCATCGCTAAGATGCCTAAATGAGACTTAAAAGTTTGGACTAGTGCTACGTACTCAATTAATCGACTGTATTAGTCCACCAAGGACACGTCATAGCTTTCCAAAACTTCAAGCCTTCCCCTGCTTGGAAGGAAGCGATTGTCACGCCAATCTACAAAACTGGTGACCGAATATCGCCTGGCAGCTATAGGCCTATAAGCCACACTAGCGTGCCGCGCAAGGTGATGGAACGCATTCTGAAGCGAGCCATCCTAGATCACCTTACTTCCAGCAATCTGATATCTCCAGCTCAACACGGATTTCTCCCAAACCGTTCTTGCGTGACAAACATGCTCGTGTTTATGGACAGCTTAACCCAAGAGAAGGGCGAAGGACCCATATCGGATGCCATATTTTTCAACTTCTCAAAAGCATTTGATAAGGTCCCACACGTCCCGCTGCTCC